GCCCGATGCGGGGCTCGATCCTAGGACCCTGGGATCATGACCTGAGCCGAAGGCAGCCACTTAACCGACTGAGCCACCCAGGCGCCCCTATAATAGTATTCTTTAAAACCAGTTTGTGCTGTTATAAGCCAGGTTAATCACCCTTGGGGACATTTCCTGGAAACACAAGACAGGTTTTTGGTGTGCTGTCAATGTTTGATTTCTTGATCTCGTTACACAAGCGTACTCAGTTTGTGGAAGATGCTCTTATGCACACTTACATGTGTGTTTTATGTATATTATACTCCAATTACAACTAAAAACTAGTATCAATTTTAAGAATAATTTAAAGTATAAATGTACTTGATTGTTGTGGATTTCATAAATTGTTTTTTGCTCTTTTCAGCCAAGCCAAAGCCATGTACTCTTGTAAAGCAGAGCACAGCCATGAGCTTTCCTTCCCACAGGGGGCGATATTTTCTAATGGTAAGTCTACCCATTCCCTTCCCTTAAGTTCATTATCATGGGGAAGATGAAGGAATAGTGTAGGGAGAAGAAGCTAAAATAGAAGCCAGAAGACTCAGAATCTAGTCCAGGCTCTGCCTCTCATAACCTGTACCAGTGAATGCATCACATTCCTCTGCAGCCCAGTTTCTTCTGTGTATTCAAGAGAGGCAGAGGGAACAAGGGTTGGGGGAGGTAGGAAAGATGGAAGGATGGGAGGGATTGGGGAGGAGGAGAGATTGGTTACATGAATGCAAAGGACATTTCCAGCCTTAAAGGTGCTGTGACATTGTTTTGACAACTTGAGTGTATATATGCAATCTGATGTGGATTTTTACCCATTTATGTGTATAATTATTTGAGGCTAATGTTGACTGAATGACATTTTTTTTTTTAATTTTTTGTCAGTGTACCCATCAGTGGAACCGGGATGGTTGAAAGCAACTTATGAAGGCAAAACAGGACTAGTTCCAGAAAACTATGTTGTCTTCTTCTAATACTGTTTAGTGGATGGCAGTATCTTCATGGTATCCATGGTAACAATAATAAGTGCTATGATTTTATCTGACACAGATATGGGAATCAGCCCACTAAATGAAAAGTAAATTTCTGTTAAGTTTCTACACCAGCAGACTATGTAGCTCCCTATAAATGGAAAAGAAAAAAAAAATGCTTAAATTGCTTGCCATGCCATTCTTTTTATTTTTTACTTCTTGACTGGTTTCTTATTTTAAAATCTTTCTTCCCCTGTTTTTTCTGATAAGTAACTCTACACATTGTCTCTTCCATAACAATTGTAGAATCTCAAATACTGTGTTAAGTACTGTATCCCAGAAATTTGGAAACTAGAAATTTGCTATAAGGATTTTTAGATATGTCCTTTACTGTCTGGCATTCTCTGAGGAACCTTGAAATCATTACTTAAAAATGTAATTTAAATTGTTCATTTATTTTTTTTCTTAAGAATTTACTTCTTTTATATATGATTGTTTTGCTGGTCCTAAACATTTCAAAGAATAAGTTTTTTTTTTAACGTAAGTTTATTTTTATTTGTTTACCAAGTAGATGATGATATTCAAAAGGAATAATGTATATGATGTCTATAAATGAAATCAAATTAAGTCATACACTGATTTCAATATAAACACTCCATTCAGCATTCCAGATGCCTTCTGTGGGCATAGCAGGGATTAGCAAACTATTTCTGTCAAGGCCTGATAGTAAATATTTGGGAGTTTTGCAGACCGTGAAGGTCTTCACCATAATACCCAACCCTGCCATTGTAGCAGAAAGCACCCATAGACCATGAATAAGCAAATGAACATGGCTTACTTAGTACCAATACAACTTTATTTATGGACCCTGAAATTTGAAAATCAAAATTCTCACATGTCCTGGCATGTCATCCTTCTTTAACTTCTTAAAATCCATTTAAGAATAGAAGTATTTTAGCTGATGAGCCATACAGAACTGGTGGCAAGCCAGATTTGACTCATGGGTCTTGGTTTGCTGACGCCTGGTTAAGAGGATGTATAAAGCTATCTTTATAATTTGGGGATTTTATGAAATTTTACTATATTAACATATAAATAACAACACATAACATGTAATTTTACTACATCAACATGATAAGTCATATGCATATATCATCTCCTAGTGGCATCACAAAATATAACTACAGTAATAGGAAAACAGTGTAAAAAGTGCAGTTTTAAGGCATGCAGCCTGAATTGTACTTGTGACACTGTGAAGTGTCAATGTATATTATTGTTATCTAATTTTAATTTTGGCTTTTGAGAAATTCTTGTACAAATGAATAAGATGTTTTTTAAAGACAGTAGTAGAAAAGCTATGCATTTTAAATTCTACACTTAATTGCAATAGAAACCAAACATAAAGATACAGGATTCTTAAATTATTTTGAGCCACAGAATTTAAAATTGCTTAGTCATCTTTAGCAGGAATAAAATCTGTACGTGATTTTCTTTTATGCTTTTCAGTTTACAGCCTTTATTAAGAATTCACTGAATTTATAAAACATAGAAATAGGTATTTACTACCAATTTAAATGTATCACCAACATCTAGTCATGCATCAGCCATTATTTCTGTTATTTCTATTTCAATTATTCTAAAATGTTATTTCTATAAATATCTGCATGTAGCAAAGAGCCTTTTTTCTCAAGATTCCAAAAAGCCGGTTGCTCACCATTGCCTCCCACAGGACTGGTCCACTGGGCCATGATATTTTACTTGTTACTTCGGAGTTCTCCACTGTACAGACACACTCAGGTATTGACTGCATAAAACTCTTTTTATGTGATAATATAATCTGTAGTCTCAATTTCTTCTACTTTAAATGAATGTTTCTAGAGTTAACAGGTTAAATTATGTGTGCACACATATACACACAACTATGTCTTGGAGCATTTATGCTTTTAAAATTAAAAATGGAATACTAGATTAGAACTTAAAAAGAATAACTGTAGGCAGAGTCACAACCAGAAATAAGTGTCACTGCATTGAAATAAAGGAATGAAAAATATTTAATGTTGTAAAAATTAGTAATATAATGAAAAAATCTGATAAATGTTTATTTTTTACCTCCTGCTATTTGATCTTTGTATACTTATAATCAGGTGTTGCTAGAGCTTTTTGGTCTCTAGATCCTTGGTGGCCCTTACTAGTAATAATAACATTGCTAACACCCTGACTACCCTCTGCTGGAACAGAAGGTAGTTTTTCCAATGTACCAGTCCCTTAGTTATATGACACTCTCAGTTTAAACACCCTTGCCATCATCTGGCATCCTACTAGATTAGAACCTCTTAATGGCAAATTGATTTTCTTTCAAAGACCAACTTGACTCCAAAGAAAGATTCAGAATTCTACTTCACTTGCTGCTGCATAGAGAAATCTCAGCCTTCATTTTATTTTAACACAGACCAGAGTGTTCCTTCCTCTGAGTTGTCTGAGAGCTAATTCCACTGATGATCAGTAAGGAATTAAAGGTCTTGCTGTATAAGACATGAATGTGAAGCCCAGCTCTCCTTTCTCATACTGAGGCATTTATTGTGGCATTACTTACTGTGGTCCCTTTTTTGAAATAGACATACAAGTGCTTTTTCAAATTGTACTTCTTTTTGCAGTTTTAACATTATAGACTTATGGGTTTGGTCCTTTTTCCTTCATATTGATTATATGTGTAAGTAAGTCATGGCCATATACTGCAGACAGACTAATGCTGCTTTTCCTTAGAAATAATTTTCCTACAGATAAGGTGTTTATGAGCATTGAGAAAATCAAGACATGTGCTCTAAATTACATGAAGTATTAATTACACAAGAAGGTGATGGCAGTCATTGAAACAGGATCACATTAAAAGTTGTAACCACATTTCAATAATGAAACTTTAGCTTTTCGGGGACGGTATGAAGATATGTTAGAATTGCCACATGCACACCTTCAGAATGCACAGTGTGGACACCCTAAACACCTCTTACAGTATAATCAGTATGAGGGAGAGATTGATAAGTCTAAGTTAATCATCTTGTGTACATTGTGAAAATATCAAGTACAAAACATTTATGTATTTAAAAAGTGACTCTTTTGTTATGCCATAACTTTACCAAGTTTATAGAAACTAGTCAGTTAGCTAAAGGCTTTTCTTTGTGTAAATGTCTGAAAAGTAAAATAATCTTTGTATTCCTGTGAAGTCCATGAAGTATGAGGAAGTGCCATTTCTTCTTGTTTGATTTGAGTGGTTTTGGTAGTTGTCTTGGCTCTCTGTGCTTTGTAATGTGAGTGAGGGCAACCAAGTTTCTCAACAGTGGCTTCTTGGCTAGCTCTTTCAGGGATGGTGGAGGAAAAAAAATGTACTTTATAATCTCAAACTATCCAAGTTCCCAAGTAGGAAAAATAAAGGTACACAATAACTTTTATTCTTACCCTATGATAATTGGTTTTACATATTGCAGCACGCCTTTTAAAAAAACACCAGGTTGAAAAAAAAAAGAAAGTCCATTAGGTTGTAAGGAAAAAAAGTTTAGCACCGTAATCCTGTGGTGATAACCTCATTCACCTTATTACTCCCAGCCTCGTTGTTCAAGTCTGTGTTTATTTCTGATATGAGAAGGATATCATTCCTATGGATGCTGGTGTAGGAGAGTCCTTCAGAGCCTTCTTTCAAACAACTGTACCTGTAGTATACCCCTTAACTATGTATTCAGGATGCTTTAATTAGCATTTAGAGCTCCAATTTGAATTATATTTCATTGACTTATTGACTTACAAGTCAGTAAGACCATTTACAGTCAGATTTTGTTCTTTGTTTTTACAGTACCTTGGTAACTTGCAGCCGTTACTATGTATGATCTAATAACATCACTGAGTAGGACCCCAAATCATATCTCCTGGTAAAGAAAAAAACAAGAGAATTTACTATTGTCCAGAAGTTATTTTGCACTTGACTAAAGGTTTCCCATTATGGTAAAAATTGCTATTTACTTTTGGTTCCTGTCTTTTTTGGTTACCTTCAAAAATCAAAACCATTTTTACAAATGAAGTTAACCTTTTTGAATAGTCTATGCCCCGCCTGTCTCCTGTTGAGCTACAGACTTATTGCCAGGTATTTATCAACTGGTCTTAGTTGATACATTCACTGTATCCATTAGTTGTCACCAAAATCTCCCTGCTTCAAATGTGCAATCTTAGATGAACTCTGGCTTATAAGTGACATGTGCTTTTAAAGGATCAGATCAATAATAAATAAGATTTTTCATTTTTTATGGCAGCTGCATCCACTGTTTTAAATCAGGAATTTCAAATAAGAATGTTGACAGCACTCGCAGTGAGCCATTGGCAGAAAACCGATCTGAATATTCTAGAACAGTGTTCAGAAGCTGTTGTATTAGTTAGGGAAGCCAGTAGGTCATCACTTCCCTCCCTGGCCCTCAAGAGAGATGCCAGGTTCAGAGGTAGAACGTTTCTTGGTGCTATGGGGAGAAATGGAGTCATTGTGTTTACTGAGGAGTCCCAAAAGGCAGGAGTCATTTATAGTTATTACAAACATAAATATCCATCATCCAAGATGTTCATTATAGGGCTATGTTAGGAATTTAAGTGATGGAGGGGGGTGGGGGCCAAAGGTGCTGACACCACCTAATTATGACCACTTTCTCCCCTTTGTACCATCTGCCATCTCTCAGCAGTGTTTCCTTTGGGCTTTACCCTTCCAGGGTTGAGAGTAGCCTGACTTTGCCTTAAATCCATTCAGTCTCTTAGATTAAAAGTGTGCATTGTTTTCTCTATGGCAGCATGTTAGAAGTTTTATATATGGCTTTGCATCTTCATTTACCTTTTTACAGAGAACACTGACCGCACATGATTTATGCTTAAAGTCAGATATCATCACATTGAGGGCTGTGACTTCAGGAAGATCTGAAACCTTTACAACTAAATAGGGAGTTTGGCAGGGAAGATGACATTTTTTTAAAAATTCAGAATCCTATTTATATACTGTTAAAATTTGAAGTACTATAGTTTATATTAAAATTGAATATTTAGATATTATATTTCAGTACTAGGAATTTTTTTGTAGCCACTAACATGACAGATTAATAAATATGATGAAAATGATTGTCAGTAAATTATCATATTGAATCGTTTGTAGTGTTTCTGTATTTGTCTTCACTTTGTGTATATATACACACATATACAAAAATATGTAAATAACCTCATGTTATTCCTAATTTCAATTGCCACATATCTTTAATGTATGTTGACACTGTATTTTAAATTACTTAAAAAATAAACCATGTAAGCACATTTTAATTTAGTCTTTGTACTTCAAGAGCCACTGTGTTGGATTCATATAGAGAAAAAAACAAAGTTTCAAATACTGTGAATGGTCATTTTGAGTGTGGCTGAGTGGAAAATCATAGAATTAATAATCTTTTCCTGACAGTTGGACCTTTTCCTGAGAAATTGGCATTATGACAGATCAGGAAAATGTTAATGTTGGTACCTATTAATGATGCACGTGTCTACCAGAGAGAGAAGTAGATGAGCCACAAACAAAATATCAAATATAACAGGTATGCAGGCTTACCCGAAAATATAAGTTTGCAAAAGTTTACAAATGTGCTATGGAAGAAGTATCAGCATGAAAACTACACCCTTAGTTTTTTATTAGTTTTATGACCCTTTTGGTCACTATTTAACTTCTACCTAAAATTTTGTTTTTCTGTATCAGAAAAAAAGAGAATCATGTATTTATTTTGTGCTGCTAAGTGGACTGTTGGAGCGCAACACTTACCTTGCAGAACCGTAAGCCTGACAGATTAATAATAGGTCCACTGAGCATACAACCTGATTTGCTCAACTGGATTGTACCTTCCTCAGTATTAGAAGAGAAGCAATAAATTCATGACACAAGACTGTTGAGATAAAAAGACTAATGTGAATAAATTCCAGTATGAGTAAGCAGGAAAGGACTCCTAGTATAGATATTAGAAATCATCGTGGATCAGCCACTGTTTGGGAATGTTGGGTTGGAAGGAATCAACCTAGGCTGGACTCCCTTATAATAACTGATATTTTAGAAATAGCAAAAACTAACTCCCAATAGCCAAAACTAGAATGGTTTGAACAACAAAATAAGTAATATATCAGATGATTGGGTTATGACCCAAATTATAAAATATCCATGAATCTATACTGATACAAAGGACAATAAATTTTGTTTATGTAAACACATGTAAAATAGGGAAGAGACAGATACTCTTCAGAGAAGAATTCCAAATAATTGGAATTATTCTACTCTTTCCTCTAGGTGGTAGAGTTTAACTTTTCCCTTGTTGAGGATGGGCTGTTAGACTTAGTGACTAATTTCCAAAAAGAGTATGGAAAACGATTGTAACTTGACAGAGAAGCCTGTCAGATACTATCCTAACCAAGTGATAAAAGTTAACATCATCAGTGATACCATGTGGTTATCTTGTAATCCATAATATGATGTGATGAGAAAAGCCTGTCAACTCTGTGGTTTTCTTTCCCCAAACCCATATCTCCAGTCTAATCATAAACAAACACCAGACACATCTGGATGGGGGCCATTCTACAAGATAGATACTAAATCAGTAATTCTCCAGACTGTCAAGGTAATGAAAAATAAGAAATTGTCACAGATAAAAGGAGAACTGGGAGACCAGACAGCTGAATGCATTGTGAATCCCTGGATTAGATCCTAGAAAGGAAAGAAGACATCAATGGAAAAACTCATGATATCCAAA